TAAGCTACATCATAAATATTTTTATTTGGAGTGAAAATCATTGACCATTAAATTAGATTTGGTTTCAGAAAAATATTTTTCACGAATTTTCAATGTTCTAGGAACATGTTAAACAATATTAGAGATGATACGATTATAGAAAGAGGATATCGTTTAAATAATTGATTTTGTGCAGGAATAGGAACACCTTTTTATTCTTATTGTGTTGTAATTTATATTTTTACCTTCTAACAAAGACTTTTCGAAGTATTCAACTAATGAGGTTGCCTATAATGACCAGAGGAAAAATTTGCTGTACTCCAAAAACATTTCCTGTAAAGCTATATAATAAAATGGCAATGTCTCGTCAGAAATGTTCTTGGAAGTCAATTTAGTGTTTTTCATTCGTTCATACAGTTCATTGGTTTGGCAGTACAAAGCTATTTCAATTCCTGGTTTTTAATTCCATTGATACGTGTCCCATTTTAAGGTTATTTTTACGTTTTTTTGGTTGGAACCGTCTCATTATATTAAGGATGTTTGGTCGAAAACTTGATTTCGAATTTTGTTACAAATATATAAGAAAATATTTTTTTTGTTGAATATTAAGGGAGATTTGGAGCTTGAAAGTAGTAAATTTGTCATATTTTGGTACCAATTCACAGGGGGAATGGGTAATGCGATTTTCATCAATATTGGCATTCAGGTGTGACAAAATAAGACAATGATCACTAGCTATTTAAAACTATTTTTTTTTATTATAACTTTTTTTAATTGTAATAATTTTAAAAAGAGCTGTTTGTCTTTGGGTAAAATTAATCTGTATGTTGGAATAAAAAAATGCGATATGTTAACTCGTTTGGGCTGTGAATTTGTACCTTTGATGCCTAGCACTTGCGGCCCACTACTCTTCGAGAGTCTGTACACTCACGCCACGGCCATAAAATACATTAACATTATGTAACATTAACAGAAAACAATTACCGTTGTACTCTATAGCCTCCTCGGCGTGAGTGTACACACTCTCAAAGAGTAGTGCACTGCCAGCGCAAGGCATCAAAGATACGAGTTCACAGCCCAAACGAGTTAACATATTATTGCATTTTTTAAATCTCCGACATATTATAAAGGAATTTTATCCAAAGACAAAAGCTATTTTTAAAAATTAAAAAATAATATTAATCTATTATTATTATTTTTTTTTAATTTATAAAAATAAAAAAGGAAATTAATTTTAAATAGCTAGTGATAATTGTCTTATTTTTCACACCTGAATGCCAATTTTGGTGAGAATCGCATTACCCATCCCCCTTGTGAATTGGTACCAAAATATGACAAATTTACTACTTTCAGGCACTATATCTCTCTTAAAATTCGACATAAAAATATTTCTTATATATTTATCTCTAATTTTTAGTACATTTGAACAAAAAACACGAGATCAAATTTTTGAACAAACTCCCTTAAGTGACTATGCGTATATATGAAACAAAAGATATGTTCAGTTCTCTTATTAAGTTTTATCTTACAAACTCATTTCTTCATATAACTTTAGTTCTCAGACATTTATAATTGCTAGTCATCAGAGGTTTACTATAAGAGTTTACTATGTGTTCCCAATTATGGCCTCTACAACTAAGAGTAGTTTGATTTGCACGATACATACAGTGAACACACAAAAGAGTATAGGTTATTTTTCAGAAACTCTGATTAGACTTGAACAATAGTCTTGAATTGCGTCTTTTTCTCTGTCCAACCAAGATATAGAAGTAAAGATAAAAATTTTTAAAAAATCATCGTTGCAATCCTATGTATTTACACTGTTGTGAAACATACATAAATTGCTGAAAAGTGTCGTGACATGTTTCAAACTAACCCATTATAAAGAATTAGATTCACTGTTTGTAGTATTTTAATTGCAACTACGTAATTGATTGAAACACAATATGTTTAATCGACAGATTTTACAAGCTGTAACATGATCATGGACAAATTTTCAGTGGAAGTTCCATTAGCAAGTTGAATTTAAACTGACATAAAGTACTTCTCGATATTGGCGTTTTCACTAACCAAGCACTCTCCCACTTTATGGTGAGTGTATATGACTACCAAATTACCATATAATTATTGTGTTCCCACCACCCCACTATACACATCAATATACCCTTTATTCATGACAAACCAATACATTTACCATCCCATCTACATATGTTTAATTGTGCATGAATACACGTTGAACGTTTTTTGATTATTCCATCATCTATTATTACATTACAATAATACACGATTGGAATATGTTATAATACATTTCTTTGCTGTATTGCTGGTTTACTTTACCTCAACGTAAAAAGAATAATAGTTAGTAAATTTTGTGATCTGCATACCTTTTTAAGAGGCTCTCTTTCTGTAATGCAGTGTGGTGGAAATAGATTTTTGTAAACAGCCTCAACATGAAAATCTATATTTTTTAATACGCAAGCAGGGTTTTTTGTGACAATTACTCCTTCAAAACTACTGAACCGATTGACATGTTTTTGGTGTCATTGGAAAGAGTGTAACGTGAATTTGTAACTTTCTTTTTAGGGAAATTATTAGAGAGTGAGGCCCTGGGGCCCTATAAAGTTTCGTATTTCTCCATAAGATTAACATGGGAAACAAACATTGTAATGAAACTCCAGCTCTGTTGTCAGAAGTTAAAAGTGAGAAGAAGAACATATGTTAATTGTAAACAGTCAATAAGTTTGCTAATCTGACAGTTTGCTAAAACATACTGACTGCTTGGTTGAAATTAAATATTTACTATTTGAATTTGGGTCGGCGTAAATATTACAATGGAAAAAAGCGTGAGAGCCTAGATCATTTGATTTGACTAATAAGAAAACTGAATTAACACTGTGCTGCATTTTTCTTAGTAATCATTGAAAGACCCAATTTGCAAACTATGGAAACATAGGAAAGTCATAGAACCCCACCAAGGAGAAGAAGTAGAAATACATTTTTTTTATATTTACAATCGTTATTATGGACAACCTAATGCGGATATGAGTAAGGCTATTTATAGAAAACACTGAAAGCAAGATCAGATTTTGAAAAATGATAAGATTTTTACAAGAAATATTGATTTTATCGATCTGTTTTGTACATCTTGAGTATTTACATAATCTTTGAGTCGAATCTTTTAAAATCATCAGAAATAACGACTTATTTGTTTTTATAATAACACCTGTAATACTTAGAAATTGCTCGAATTCAAGCAACAGGGACACTAGTATACTCTTTTATGTCCAAAATGTGCATTATAGCTTTCAAATAAACTTGGTATCTCTGTTAAATTGTCCTGTGAATTATGATGTGTTAACTTTGTTAAAAGTTTTTACATCAAAATACTCTTTAATCACATAAAATGGATTTGGAATATGAATGAAAACAAATAATTCTTCTTTCGAGTAGAATTCCAGCAGAGTAGTAAAACTGCAAGAGGCAAAGACGTATCGTAATTGGGTTATAAGCTAGAGCGTTAATCACACGTTATTCGACATGGCCCAATTAACTAAACTTTAATTGACTATTTACGGATTACTGAATTAACAGTTACAACAAAGCTCAATAGAACTAATACGGTTTAGTTATAATTACATGTTCAGTGAACTAATTACATGTCTGAGAACAAAAGATGATTGTAAATGTCTGTTATCCTTGTATTATTATTTTGTAAAATTTTTGATTATAACTAACTGATATAACTTATAAAGGAAGTTTTTATTTCCTATTGTTGCTGATAAAATATTATCCCAACTGTGAAGTTTCCTCGATGACAACTAAGACAAAGGGTTGTATTCCACAAAAATATATATTTATATATGTTAAGATATGTAATTATCATTGTCATTTCAATAATTTTCCTCTATGTTATTTTTACAGCTGTGATATCATTATTAATGCAGTTTTGTCATATAAACAAATAATATGAGTTTGTAGGTAGATGTGAACATAGAAAAATGTCTAAATACAATTATTCTTTCCTGTATCAACAGTAGTTATTTTATTTAGTTTCAACAATATATACCCTTATAAAAAGTCATTTCAGTTTTCATGGCCAATTTCGAGTAGTAACCGGTCAAGATATACATTTTTTTTATATAGATATTTTACTCCATGCATCTTGGTAACCGGCAATCCTCTCTGTATGACGACACATTTAGTCAACCTCTACGCACGACCTTGTCTATACAAGTTTGCACACGTTATCTTCACTACAGTATCACTCTTCAATAACCTGTAATTTTTGTTCAACACGTTCTTTTATATAATCCAACAGTGCTTTACTCTTCACTATAATAGCGCTTTTTTAATGTTGTAAAACCAAAACCACTACTAGGCCTACTTTGTTCTATATGTTCAAAAGAGTTTTATTTTTTTATGAAATCTGATAGTATATTACTTTTGAATTATCTGTACTACATGGTCTACCTAATGTAAATGATTAAAAATCTTCTTTACTTTACTCCAATAGCATTTTATTTACTAATAACCTCTACTACGTATACTACCCTACCTCCATGTTTTTTTTGCTCTGGATTTTGATTCTGTTATCAGGCTAGTAAATACAGTATAACATGATTATCACACTAACCTAGTTAAATCTGTTAAAATAAAACTTAGAGAGCCTTATTTGGGTAAAAAATAAAACAAAATTCAAACAAAAGTATATGAACTTGTTCTCACAATGTGAAAACAATATACGCAATATGAATCTCGTACCAAATGAGATTTCCGGATGACTTCGTTCTATCTAACCTTTTGCCAGAAGGACGCTTGACCTGAGTTTCACTAAAGCTACCATCCTTTTCACCTTACCTTTTCACTGTGTTCTCTAATCTCGTTTGTTACTATTATATTGTTTTCAATGTGGTTACGTACTTTGTCATCTGCAGATGGGATCATACTCCAAATTTCGAAAAGTTGGGAAAACTATGTAAATAACCTCTATTACTCGTTCTAGGAAAGCGGAAACCCCTGGCATCAACCCTCGCTGCCTTCCTTGTCCTTCATGACCAGTGAAAGGAGATTAACAGACCCAGACCTAACTCATGAACTGAATAACTCGACCCTCATACGTGAGCTTCCACCAGAACTCAAGTTCAACTCCAGCTCTCTAGTTGTCGTCGTCATTTACAGTGTACTGTTTCTGGTAAGTACGAACATTGGGTAGGTTGTTCAGTAGTCTTAGGTTTGATACAAGAATAGTACGTCTATTATTTAGTTACTTAGTTATTATTACTTAGTTGGAGTCCCTCATAGCTTCTACTCAATGGTACACAACACTGAAAAGGTGTTTAGTACCATAGCTTTTCATGGCTAAAAACTGGACATAGTTTATTTGATATTTGTTTATTTTCCTAGCTAAAGTGACGGCTGATCCTAGATGCTACGTAGATCATGTCTTTCTAAATAACACTCACTTTGTATTACAATACTTAAAGTTGGGGTGCAAGGAAATTTTCTGTCATAATAAAGCGATCAAGATGACATCCTATGTTGCAGGTTGCCTCAGTAGGCAATGTGACAGTGTTTGTGTCTCTGGTCCGCAGTCGACGTCGCAAGTCGCGAGTAACACTGATGATGACTCATCTCTCCATTGCCGACATGATCGTCACCTTCTTCATGATCCCGTTGGAGATCTGTTGGAGGATCACTACCCAATGGATTGCTGGTAACTTCGCCTGCAAGTTCTTATTGTTCTTCCGAGCCTTCGGTCTGTATCTGTCCTCCAACGTGCTGGTCTGCATCAGCCTGGACAGATACTTCGCCGTGTTACATCCCCTCAAGGTCACAGTAGCACGACGTAGAGGCAAACTAATGCTGGTCGGGGCCTGGACTGCCTCCGTAGTCTGCTCTCTTCCCCAGGTACCTATTTTGATAATTGCTTTTGTGCTTGGTTTACATTTTATAGAGGTTAGTCTAAAATATAGTTTATTTTCCCCACTTACAAAGGTAGATAGTTTGACTTGAAAACAAACTATACTGTAAAGTAAGATGGTTAACAACCTAATTTATTACCTATCCCTTTATCAGTGTCGACAATAATGTTATTTGGATATTTTGATAGATCTTACACCCCCAATAAAATGGTAAAACGATCCTCTCTTGTTATCCTTAAAGAAATATTACACAAGTGCTAAACAAACTGGTACACGGTCCTATGGAAATGTAGTTGACTAAAATACATTGTTATTACTGAGTGGAAATGTGGGTGGATATATCCTGTCAATGTTAAAAGGATCAAAGGAATATAAGTTTGGGTTTTATGCCAGTGGGATGCCATGAACTTAGCCGCAGGGATGTTTACGACATGCTTGTGACATAAAAATGATTGTAGACAACTTCCTATAACTGATAACTTTTGAGCTGCACACACGTAATGATCAACCTACAAACATTTTGTGATCAACAATTATTAATATCCAATTTTAAAGATTTAAATTTTTTTCTGTATTACATATTTACGAATTTGCTTAGAATTAAAAGTTCCTTTTTTAATTTGTGAAAAGCAACTAAAAAATGATTGAAGTCAGTAGTTTAGCATTGTTCAATTAAAACTCAATCTAGATACTCAATAATTTATTGTTAAGCGTCAAATAGTTGTACACTGTTTATTTGGCTGATATATACTATAATCTGCACGCCTTTGTTGACAAAGCCATATCGGTGGCTAATTTTTGGAAAAGCGAAGTCTGATTTCCGGACATGGAATGCAACTTAAAACAGGTCAATTTTGGAGTTCTGGAAACCTTTATCAAAATCTATATTAATAATAGAAATCATTAATAATGATAACAAATACCACTAGTTTTCTTAAAAAAACATGATTAAATTTTGAACCTTTTGGGGACTTCCAAGTAGTTCAATTGTTATGTAATACACGGAAGCAATTTCACAGTAGATACTTGAAGTCCTTCCAAGCTTTTAATCCAAACTGTAATAAAATAAAAATAAAATAAACAATACAGAACCTTTCTGACAATGACATTGTTAAATGGAATTGATTCATCAATCAGCGAGGTTTGGTTAACAGGCAGAAAATGGTTTTCTCTTTGTGAAAAATTCGTTTGATGGCAAAGTGGCGTCTATGAAACAGACATTTATTAATTGCTCTTCATATCGATAGCAGTAAAAGGCGATCTCTTGTTGACCTGAACAGCCTACAGCTACGTACTGAGATTTTGCCAACTACCCTAGAGGTCCCTAGAGGCCAAAAACACCATCTGTTCAAATTCATATATATATATATATATATATATATATATATATATATATATATATATATATATATATGTCCGTTAGCGCGATAACTCGAGCAAAAACAATCTGATTTTAATGAAATTAGGTACAAGCGTGTAAACCTACATTTATTCGAACGAGTTCGCAAACCAGCATGATCGGACCATGGGAACGGGGGTTTATGGGGAGTTTTATGGGGTAAAAATGGGTTTTTCCCATTTTTGACTCAAAATACATACAATTTCGTAATTTCTTTCCAAACTATTTTGTATAGCTTACAAAAACAAATAATTTAGTATATTGAAGCGTTATAATGCACCTAATGGTTACGGATAAAATTCCAAAAAAATTGTAAATTTAAAATTCCCATGTTATTCTTAAGGAGAATAAGTAAACTGTTGTAGTTTGCTTGTTTATGAAGATATTTTTCTCTAATTTGGAAAATTTTTTTATTTCTTACTAACTATTAACATTTTACATAAAAAACACTTTTACCCTCCCTGTTGCAGCAACCCTAAGTATGTGTTAAACTGATTCTATTTAAATAAGGAATGTGATATTTTCAAGGAGACATTTTAGTATCAATCCAAACAGGCAAATGGAAATTCGCTTAGTCTGCAGGTTTGCTGTGGCGGGGGTATTTAAATTCTGTTTGGGAAAAGCTTTTTACTCAGGTTTAAGTTGAATGGTTTTTTAATTCATGACTTGAAGCTGTAAGCTATTTATAGAGTAATCTTGCTTAAGATTAAGTCAATCATGTTTATAAAAAATTTTAACTTACCTTTTTAAATTATTATTTTACACTTTCATAAGATTTTTAAACGATGTATTTTAAACACACAAAAAATGTATAGTATACTGTATAAAGTAATTCTTATTCCAGTTTGACAATCTATGTAACCTACAGTTTACAAATTTAGACTTATACTTAATAGAATATTTTAATCGTTATAACACTTTATTTATCATATTTTATAATAGAAAATATTGGAGGAAGGAATCCACAATAAATAAAACGAAGTTAGTAATTTCTTTTGTGTGGAGGCCATGAATCCCAAACAAAATTACGATATGGTTTGGTCTACCCCTTCATATTAAATCGTATGAACGTCTTAGTGTTAATATTACCCCTAATTATATACATATTGATTCAAGTAGATGAACTATGAAATTATTCATTATTGTTAATTGTTTAACTCTCCGAAACAAAGATAGTAATATAAATATTTCAAACACTTTTATTACTACTACTTAATTCCCTATAAGTTCAAAAATATAGAATTAAAAGTAATTGAAATATTACGATTTTTAGTTGTAAATGGGGTAGAATAAGGCTAAGCTAGTCAGGTCCCCTTCTTTTTTGAACACCCTCTATATTGGAACAGTTGGGGTAGTTGAATCAACAGTACAATGCTGAATCTGAAAAAAAATAATTTAGCCTTACAGAACATTCTAATTTAAATAAATATTGAAGTTTAAACAATTATTAACATAAATTTGCGTCTTTCCATCATACATGAATTGGTTTATAAACCTCTATTCTTACCAATCTCCACAATAAATTGTTGCAGAGTGTAGTTTTTCACGTGGCACAACATCCAGAATACCCAGAATTCTCTCAGTGTGTCTCCTTCGATTATTTCTCCACACCGCTCAAGGAGAAGGCCTACAACTTCTTCTGTCTAGTAGTCATGTACTTTCTACCTCTTGTGGTCATCACTTTTGCTTACACCTGTATACTCTTCAAAATACTTTCAAAGACGAGAGAAAATCGTGGTAAGTCTATACTCTTTATGATGTGTAAATATAATGGTTTTAACAGTTTCTAAATATAAATCAACCGTATGGCTTCTATTTCCAGTTACATAGGTTTCGCCTAATGGATTCTGCTTAGTGAGTGCAATCAGGTAAAGTCAATTTCATCAAATGGTTTTCAAACACATTGGTTTGTTCATCACTTTTAACAGAGGATGTAATTATTTAGAGGGAAAGTAAGGAAATGTTATTTGTTTTATTCTTATTTACCTTAAAAGTTTACTTACTCACTCAATATTCTACTTTCAAGCTCTAAGTTTACAAACAAACTGTAGCGGATTGGCAAACTTAATGTATTAAAACACTGGGAACGCTTTTAAAGTTTATTATTAAAATTGGATAAATGGTAACAGATGCTCATAGCTGAACGAGGTTTTAGTAGATTTCTAATATTGGCAGAGAGGAAGATCCACTTTCCACCCAAAGCCAAAGGCATATGTGGACGAGCAAATACTAGGTTAAAATTTACCACCAACCTATTTAAAGCAAAACAATTTTACAGACGACATGCAGCGTCCCGAGGAGAATAGTACTGGACCCAGGACGAGGATGAGACTGCGGAGGAATGATACTTCTGTCATAGAGAGAGCGAGAGCCAAGACTATCCGAATGTCCGTTACTATAGTGGCTGCCTTCGTCTGGTGCTGGACACCTTACGTCGTCATGACTATGTGGTTTGTACATACTTATAGTTAGAGCAACTGCATTTCTCTAGAGAAGTATTTACGGAAATACTGTATAATTTCATTCACTTAATCTGCCACTTGATCTCGTCAAACCTTCTCATCGAAGATAATCTTTGATTTACTTGTTGTTGTAGTGATGAGCTTAACATCGAGTCATGTGAATTTGTTTTTACCTAACGATTTTTTTTTTGTTTCGATTGACCCTAAACATATATTTAAGATATATGGTTATTCCGTTTTACAAAGAAAATATACACAATTTAACTATTGTCCGCAAACTATTTTTACATTTTGACACAACTATGGTTTTTTACCCCTAGGTACATCATTGACCGGAAGTCGGCTGAGAAAGTTGACTCCTGGGTCCAAGATGCCCTATTTGTCATGGCGGTAGCCAATTCTTGCGTCAATCCCCTGGTGTATGGCTCGTATGCCTTCGACTGTCCTGTGTGCTGGTGCCACTGCAAATCATGCTCTGGATCTAACAGACAAACTACAGGTATGTACTACTAGTCTTTTAAATATTGCTTGTTAGAATTGGAATCGAACGTAAACAGCATAAACTTGTAATGTTCAATGTATGTGTAAGAAGGCTTTGGACCAGTAGTTTTTTCATTAAAACTACATACGATAAATACGCAAGTGATTTTATTTAAACCTATTTAACCTTAACCAACATAACCTAACTTTTATGATAACTGAGGACTTAAGGGGATTCGGGACCGAAATCGCTTAGTTCATTATTATTACCACAAGCCCTACGGAACTTTTCATGATTGTTTCATATACACATAAAAGCTTTTTTATGAAGAAAAGAAATCCCAAAGTCCATAGCCCCCCCCCTCCCACCAGTGGTTTTATTTGTGAATTACCATTAGTACCTTACAAAATTTGATGTAAATCCAGATTTTTAATTGTTATCTTTTCATAAATAAACCACTATTCTGTAACTTATAACTTCCTTTAAATATTTGGGTTAAATTATAACTGTAACATAACAAGTAAATGTTTTATGTAATCAAGAAACTTTGTATTACAATTTTTATATGCACAATTTAAGTTTATGATTCTACCTAAATATTTAGAGATTTATATCGTAATTTTATTGTAAAAATGTAGTACAAGCATTTGTTGAATGTATTAATTTCAAGTCATAAAAATGGCTAAAATCTGATTTGCGGGAATCGCGAGTTGAAAGTTACGCTCTATTTCTTGACAGAATATTTTTTATGGTTCAATTTAATTGAACAGAAAGGTAATTTACCATAATATAAGGTTTAAGACTATATTAATACACATTTTTATAGACTTTCTGCTGCATATAACATTTATATTTTATATTATTTATATTTATCATATTATTTATCTTCATAACGATGAGCTAAAAGTAAAACTGTTCTATTTCTTATACAAGAATATTATTCACACATCTTGCTTGAACAAACTCTATTTTCAAACTCAACTAATGTTTACAAAAACATCTGACAACAAACATATTTAAACACATGATAAAAGAACAGACTTAATACAACATCCCGCTTCAAGATGTCCACATCTTTATGAACCTCAGTACCGCCTCGGTTTCTTAATGGACCTTCCGTAACGGGTTACTGTGCCAGCTCCTGGACGATCACGTGAGTTGCATGGACGATTAAGGACCATGGATGAACAGTTTGAAAGAATTCCATCTCTTCCGTAGTACGGTGCAGGAACTAAGAACTTCCTGTTTCGGCGAATAGTTCTCTTGTCAGTTTCCACAAGGTAGGAACGTGGTTCGTTCAATTTCCTGACTACCTTACCGTGTCGACGTAGATCTGTGATCCATACCATGCTTCCAACTTCTAATTCACTTAAACCACTCGCTCCATGTCGTTTATCAAATTGTATCTTGTACTTATTCTGGTACTTATTCTCCCTCTCAAGAAAATTCTTATTTTCCACAGGATTTCCAACCAAAGTAGATGGTAGATTGTCTCTTAATTTTCTTCCAAACATAAGTTCAGATGGGGAAAAGCCGGTTTCAAGAGGTGAGGTCCGGTAAGAAAGTAGGGCAAGTTCAAATTCATCCTTGTTTTTCTTCATTAGCCCTTTTGCTACTTTCACAGCTGCTTCAGCTGCCCCATTTCCCTGATGGTGGTGGGGACTACTTCTGAATGTGGAGAACCCCCACTCCTTTGCAAACAATTTAAATTCACTTGAGTCAATATGGTGAAATTGTGTCCCACTATCTGAATAAACACGTTGAGGAATTCCAAAACGTGAAAATGTGGTTTTGCAAACCCGAATCACATCTGAAGCCCTCATTCGATGCATTTCCTCGACTTCAAAGTATCTTGAGTAGTGATCCACGATAACCATATACCACTTGTCTTCGTGTTTGAACAAGTCAACAGACACATTTTGCCACGGGTAATCCGGGACAGTTCTCGGAATCAATGGTTCACTGTGATTAGTTGAGTTCTGAATACACACTGGACACGATTTGATTTTCCTTTCTATTTCTTGAGAAATTCCAGGCCACCACATGGTTCCCAAAGCACGTTTCCTTGTTTTTGTGATTCCCAAGTGTCCACTGTGAAGCCTCTCGAGCATTTCCGCTCGTAGTTCTTGAGGTATTATCATCCGAGTTCCTCGAAGCAATAGCCCATCAATACAACTTAACTCGTCTTTCACATTAAAGTACTCTTGAATCTCATTAGGTAAACTTGATTTTACAGGCCATTCGTCTAAAATTTGTAACTTAAGTTGTGCACAGATTGGATCTCTCATTTGTGAGTGAAGTACCTTTGTCACATTTTCATCTGTAGTGTTTATACTAATTAGACTGATTTCGTGGACGAAGGCTTCCACTTCTTCGGTCAATTCGCCATCTTCGTCAGCCGGAATAGGACTTCTTGATAGTAGATCTGCTATGGCAAGGTCTTTTCCTTGGGTCCAGGTCATGCGATAATCGTATCTCATCATACGCATTCGGAACCGCTGTAGCCTCGGTGAGAGCTCGTCCAAATTTTGTGTTTTGAAAATTGAGACAAGCGGTTTGTGGTCGGTCTCAATTGTGTACATTTTACCCATCAGGAAACATTTCAAACGGTCACTTGCCCATGTGCACGCAAGCGCTTCTCTCTCAATGTTACTATAGTTTTCTTCAGCAGGCGTTAGAGTCCGAGATATATATGCCACAGGTTTCTTGTTTTCTCCTTCAACTTGAAGTAAAACCGCTCCAAGACCTTTTTTTTGAAGCATCGCAAGAAAGAATCGAGGGTTTTTGCGGATCGTAAACAGTCAAACATGGCTCTGATGATAAAATCTGTTTTACTGTGACAAAAGCGTTTTCTTGAGCTGGTCCCCAAAGGAAATCGTTTTTAGTCTTTAACAAGCTCGTAATTGGCTCCAAAATCTCACTGCGGTTCGGAATAAATTTTGCCAGAAAAGTGATCATGCCCATGAATCTTTGTACTTCATTAGCGTTTCTTGGAGCTGGTAAGTCCACAATCGCTTGTACCTTGCTTGGATCAGGCTTGATTCCGTCCTTAGACAGCACAAACCCCAGAAATGTCACAGTCTTCTTGCAGAACTCCGACTTCTGCTTATTCAAGGTGATTCCATTAGCTTGCACTCTCTCTAGAACGGCCCTAAGACACTCGTCGTGTTCTTCTTTCGTTCTTCCCCATATCAGACAGTCGTCAATGTGCACTAAACAGTTCTTTGCCCCTTCTAAAGCTTTTGACATGCGGCGCTGAAACTCTTCAAGAGCGGACGTAATTCCAAAAGGTAACTTACGGAATTTATACCTCCCAAAAGGGGTGATAAATGTTGTGTAATCTTGTGACTCCTCTGCAAGGTTCAGTTGCCAGAACCCGGAATTCGCATCGATCTTGCTGAAGTACTTGGCTCCCGCGATCTCGGCCAATGAAAGTTCGATCTTTGGGATAGGATAAAACCGACGTTTCACACTGTTGTTGAGTTTGGATAGGTCTACGCAGATCCTAACCCCACCTCCCTTTTTTGCGCAAACTACCATTGGTGCGCACCAATCAGTCGCGTGTTCAACTGGAACAATCACTCCTTTCTCAAGCATATCGTCTAACTGCTCTTTCACCTTGGTTTTTAAAGGTATTGGTACAACCCTGGGGGTGGATATAGCGTAAGGAACTGCATTCTCCTTCATTTCAATCTTGTACTCTCCTTTCATATTTCCCAGCCCTAGAAATAAATTAGGATACTTAGTAGCCCAGTCAATATCATGTGAATCTACAGAAAAAATTCTCCTCACCAGGTTCAGCTCTTCACAGGAACGTCTGCTAAGAAGTGGAACAGTGATCTCCTCAGAAATATACGCAAGATCATAAACTGATACACCCTTATGTTCAAGCTTTAGCCTTAAAGTTCCCAAAATATTGATTCGTTCTTTCTTCTTTGCGCTAAACACAGGGGATTTGCACTTTCCTAGAGGCAGAGTCTTAATAAAATCACCAAGAACTCCTACTGGAATCATGGTTACATCAGCTGCTGTGTCAAGTTTAAATTTTATAAGACCTAAATCTTGGTTTCCACAGCTTGCTTTTACCTCCTGGACCCAGGCTTTGTCACTGCTGTCTATATTCCCTATGAAAATCTCAGGAACCTGTTGATAACCACTGTCTGAATCTTGCTGTTCGATTTCCTTAACAACGTTTTTGTTTTTTCTCATCCACTTTTCGCGGGAGGGACAACATCGAAAAAAATGTCCAATCTCGGAACATTTGTCACATTTGGCTTTCCTAGCAGGGCATTCGGCCAGTGATCCGTGCCAGTTATAACCACATTTCCTGCACTTTTTTCTCATAGCATCCTCGGTGAATTTCTGTTCACCAGCTCTTTCAGACAGATTTGTTTTACCGACTTGTATTGACGTTTGATTCACCATAAAAACATTAGTATTGGCGAGCTCACGTTTTTGGCGTTCTAGCTCCTCGTGTTGGCGCAAGGTATTAATCGCCTTCTCCAGAGTCAATTGAGGGTCCAGCTGGAATCTATCACTTAGAGCCTCATCTTTCATACCAATAATGAGGACCAGAAGCACCATCTCATCGTTCAGTTCACCCCATGCACACGTTTTTGCAAGACCATGCAAATCTGTTATGAATTTTTCAGATGGATCACTCCCTTGCTTGTGTCTCAGAAATTTTGTTCTCTCATAAATGATATTTCGTCTTGGCACAAAGTATGCATCAAAGGCCCGAAGAGCCTCGTCATAAGTATTCGGTTTTGGTGAAAACGAATCGAAAATATCTTCACTCCTACTACCCATTGTAAACAAAAGTACATCGATTTGCCGAGCGTCGGAAGTGCTATCTAGACCGCACCCCCGTCTGTACCTTTGAAAGCGATTCCTCCAGGAATGCCACTCATTCGGAGTAAAAGAGAAGGTATCTGGAGTTGGTAACGTCAGATTTATCATAGGAGTAGGAGTACACATTACTGCATTATTTTCTCGGTTTGTCTGTCCCAATGCAAAACCTAGTGACTCACCTTCAGTCTTTCTAGAATCCCTTTCTGACATGTAGTTGAATTCACTTTGGGCATCCTCCTCATTGTCCTCATACCTTTGCCTACGAGTATTTCGTTTTTTTCTGCCCTTACTTGACATCATGCGTGGTTTTAGACTTTGTTCGATAAAAAATCCACTAAGCTGCCACCATGTTCTATTTCTTATACAAGAATATTATTCACACATCTTGCTTGAACAAACTCTATTTTCAAACTCAACTAATGTTTACAAAAACATCTGACAACAAACATATTTAAACACATGATAAAAGAACAGACTTAATACAACAAAAACAGTGCAGCATTATGAAAAGATATACAAAAATATATTTCTAAATTTTTAAAACAATTTTTAACATTTGTATTGTATTTTAAAATAATAAAGTAATAAAAATACTTTCTACAAAAATATAAAAGTTTGAAAATGTTTTGGCGTTTCGGTGCCGAATTCCCTTAGGATGGCACGACTGGGGACGATATAATTGCTTTAAGCTAATTAAAAGTGTCTACTTTTTTACCCGTCACTCTACATTCCTTCTCTTAACTGTCATCCGAGTAAAATGTTAGTCAACATGTTAAACTAAACTAGACCAACTAACCACGATTTGGATTTGGGTATGAGTTAGTTACCGTTCTAGTACCTATTATTTGAATCTGATGGTTTTGAAAAAAAAACCTGTGTAGAAATAGAGTGATTGCAGGGGCTTGCTAAGGTATAAATGCATAATTAAAAAAAACATTTTTGCTTGACTCAGATTTTTTATTAGGAACAAAAGTGAAAACTGCCATCTTCTTTCAAATAACTTCGAGCCTGAGGTACAGAGCTGAGACATTTTCCTGTATACTTACTTCACTAATTAGGGATCAAAAACTTGGATCAAGTTTCATTTGACTAATAAGTTTACCTCAAAACTAAAAATTACCTATAAAACTCATTAAAATTGCATCCATTAGTATTTATGAACGGCTTAAGCGATTATAATGTGTATTAAATAACCAGATTTAATTGTCTCAGAAGGGAATACTGGTAGTCTATTAACTAGTAACTAAACTAGGGTACGTAGACTTGTATGTGCAGTAGACTATGAATCGGATTTCTATTCAAAATAACACTGCGAAACACCGCAGTAACACCGTTGGAAGTTTATTATGTTTTAATGAACGTTAAGTGCTAACGCGAGAAGTTTTAAACGTGAGAATTATTTGATTACACCTTTCAACGCTTTCATCAAATAAATGTTGATGGTGGAAATGATTGTATTGAAATAAACTGTCTTTTGATCTTAAGCATAAGTAAATTTTTGTTTACACTTTAGTGAAATTTACTAGTGATATTTCATTGCAAGCAATCTGCAAACACAAAAAGCTGTTAAACGCATTTTTTTTACCATTATATGTTTATTTAGACCAGTTTAACTTGTTTATAAAAAGTCTACTAACTGAGAGCTCTCAGAGATTAGGCAAATATTTTGCAATTAATTGAGAAAGATATGTTTCCTAGATATAATATCTTAGCAAACAACGGGTTTCCTTTCATCTCCCAACAATATGAAGACCTTTTAAACAGTGTTTCAAATACCGTTGTTCATGTGGCTAACTTTCCCAAATTTTAAAACTATACTAAGTATAGTAAAATTTACTATACATTTATAAAAGTCTTTATAAATGTATAGTAAATTTTAAGATAACATCTTTAAACTAGTTTTATCATCAGTATAGTTCGTAATACGATTGAGGAGTGAAAAATGATCCATAATTGTATCTCCAATTTGTATTTAATGGGAAACAGGGACAGTGCACTACTTGTTTAAGATAGCAAACCCACAAAAAAACACAAATAAATATCTATAAATCGGACTGAGTCATAAACTAACTATAACTAATAATTAACCATTACAATTGATGAATTGATGTAACGCATAACGTGACGTTAAGCACTGTTGGAACGCTATAACTAAGTTCATTGAACTCATTCAGCTCCATAACTACTGCGTATAGAAATTCTGTACCTGTAACAATACATTTTAATACCCTCCCTAGTAAGCCTAAGCACGCGCCTAAAACCTTCTATAAGCAGATTTTCAGTTAGGATATTCTATAGGCCTAAGTTATACATCTAGTTCAGAATATACGAGAGTAATCTATTCAACGACAATTAGTTCCGTTATAGAGCATGAACTTAAGTTCTAACTTAATATTACAAACATGAGTAGGCCCTACTTTGTTTCTAACAATCTTATAACTCTAAATACCCTAAAAAAACTAAGACAAAATATTCACCTTAATAATTTTAATTAAAATTGGTGTTATGTTGAATTTAATGACTTTAATACTACACATAATGCATATAAGCTCGTTATGTTAATTATAGTCTAGATTTTGACATAAAATTGACAGTGAAACTAACAACATTCTCCAATTTAATTACTTGTTTCAAATAGTTAGTATCTAGTACTATACACCTGATCTTGTAACATAATATAGTTTGTTTTATATTTGTAAAGCAAATATTATTCTTCAAATAAATTGTGGTAAACAGTTTAACAGTTAACTTTTGATAATTAGCTAGCGATGTTTTGTAGTTCACTTTTATATTTTCAAAAGACGTAATTATAAACTCTTCAATATACAGCAATTTAAAGTGTTTGGGGTTTCTTATTACAGTACTACAGCCACGCATATACTGTATATACTTAACGAATGACTGATGAGAATAATAATAATACAGTAGTCCAGCTTAATAAAGATTAAATTCAACAAACCTCTAAACTTGTTATATGCATACAAAGAAAGGAAAAAATATGGTTAAGATAATCACATTATGCTTCATACAAGTAGTTGTCACTACAAAAGAAGTCCTAAGTACCAGGGCAAATATGTTTTCGTATTTCTGTTATGTTACTTTCTGCACAGCAATATTAAGAACAAAAAAAATATCACCTCCTGTTTTATATATACATCTATATATACCCCGTTTATGTTTTTTATATTTTGTTTTTTGTTATATGTTTGTTTGTTGTTGTTGTTGTGTTTATGTTTGTATGTATGTGTTTGTGTTCTATGTTTTATATATATATCTTGTAGAGTTGATTTAAAAAAATGTAAAATGATTTTATTTTTTTTACAGACGCTCAAGGACACCCGCTTCACACGGAACAGCCGAGTCCGGGTCACAAACTGAATATAAACAATAACAGTATCAACAAATCATTTCCAGGTAAAGCAACAAAATTATGTTCTGTATTTATTTGTTTACTACCATGGCATACAAATATTAACATAGTAACTAAATTGGCTAGAACATGTTTTATTGACATTAGTAGTTTAGAGAACAGGTTAATTATTGTTGTGTTATGTAATTGATATTTTAAGGGATTTTTTAGTAAAGGAACGGTCTAAGCCTCTGCCTTTTTACCACCCAAGGTAATAATTTTGTTGTATAGCATAAATTATTCATAGCTTTATGATAACAGTACTACCCCCCCCCCTTATTAACTGACATCTACCTTAATTAGAAATTGTAAGATCACAGATCACAGATTCATGTACCTTTTGTATCCAAATTGTAAGTTTAAATTTAGATTTTATAAATGTCAAAAAGCTATAAAAGGATAAAAATATTATAGTAAAATTCAAAAGCTCTCTATTGTATTAAGTTACAAGGTAATGAGTATAAAAAATACGTAGTTACTTTCGTGACATAGATTATCCTCTTTGTGTGGTGAAAACTAATTGTGCTTCACTATTTTTCACAAAACCTCTAGTTGGATGGATATTCATTTTGGAGATGGTATTACAGTGCTACAAACAGCTAGAAAAATGTTACTACCCTTCCCGAAATGGTGGCTAAATCCATTAGTGTAGCAAAAGTTTAAAATAAAACTCCAATAAAGTTAAAGAACTTGTAATTTAAGTTTTTTTTTTTAATTCCAGAATCATTAGATAACAAGATATAGCCGAACACAGTTGTCCTGCTTAAATATTTAAATTGTAGCACTAGAATTAATTGTTACATAATTTTTCAACATTTTTAAAATTCGTTTAGTATAAACCAAAATCAGAACTTTTATGTTGATAAATGAAGAGACAGCAATAGCCCTTAAAGGCACTAATTATTTTATTGGTTGAAATAGTATATTTCGTACCTAGGGCCGAAAATTAGGTTTTGCCGGCTCGAGATAGTGAAGAAATAATTTGAGGAATCAGCAAAATTAATGATAAATAGTTGCTAGGCAGTGGTGACAATAGAACAATTCTATTGCAATGCTATGGATACTGATTTGTGTATTTAATACGCATTCATGTTTTAAGAAAGTAAGTGGGCAGCAGATTTTGCGGCCCTAGGGATGTAAAAACCGGCTCGGTCCCCAAATGACGATGACAGCAAGGCATGGCCAGCAAAACGTAACTTTCAGCCACCAATTAACGTATGTAAAACAGCTAAAAACGTCACATTGTGGCGAAAAAGACATTGGATATTGCATTATAACAGTCTAGGGACATTACAAGACTCATCAAATTTTTTAGGTTACGCTTTTAATTTAATTTTAATAATTACATTGATTGTACAGTTTTGGTTGATGCAAATTATTAAACAGTTGACAAAACTATAACAAATCTTTGTTTGTTTACGTCAGCAAAATAACAAAAATATAGTAAACATTACTTTTGATTCATAAACATTATTTTTGTGTAGTAAATAATAAGTATGTGATATATTATAAGTAAATTACTGCAGAAAATGTTACCGGTATATCTTTGACGTTAATTCTTCAAAAGCGATTTCAAAGCATTCTGAACACAATTGTTCACTGTTCAGTCCCTTCAGGGCAAGTGGAGATTATAAAAGCTGTTTCCGAAGTCGTGCAGTAAATATTACACAGTAACTGATCCTTCGACAACAAAACGTACGTCACAGAATGTATCACAGTTAAGAAAATGTAACAATTCATAACAATGTTTGATCTGCTATTTTAATATTTATTTACATTCGCAAGCCGTAGGTGCGTATCTTATTTCCCAATTATCTTTGAATAACACATGCGTTCTGGGTCTAGAATTAAAGAATATTGTGTTAAAATTTTACAGAAAAATCTATTATTATTTAATAAGACATAATAAATTTAAGACATATAAAATAAACCTTTTTTCTTGATACAAAGTTTTTTTGGCGAGGCCTTAGAATTTAAGTGTAAAAAACTAAATAAAAAAATGTATTTCATAGACTAAACAAAATTATTTTAGTCACAGTACATACGTAATATATCCACTATTTTATTCTTGTTGTGCTATTATTGTAAATGTACAACCATTAGCTTGGTTATTCACATGATTACAAATAGATATAATTATAAAATACAACACCCTAATTAACTGCGAGAACTAACCGATGTCGAATGGTTGCCTAGTGTAAAATGCGTGGGATTTTCTAATTTACAAGTAATTACCACATTGTTTATTTATTATTTCCATGTTGTAAATTGAATATTAATTGCCTAATGTAGGGGATGGTCGTACATTTATAGCATTCACGCCCGAAATCCAGGAATCTAAATATGTTATTTTTATTTAACATATTTTAAACAAAAAACTATTTTAAAAGTTCTAAAATTCCAGCAATAGTGAGTACATTTTATCTCTAGTTATTAGTACAGTTATTGTTATATTTTTAGCGAATTTCCCTATAGGGAAGTAGCTATTTTTGTTATTTAGTAGTTTATTGTATTTTTATTGTATGGATATGAGTGATGTTTGACAAATTACTAGAAAAAACCTGTATTAATATTACAAAGCAAACGTAAACATAAACATTTATCATGAATGTCTAACAATCACTTAAATTATGACCATTAGTTTCTAAATATAAAGTATTCAACCACTTCCTAAAATTTACTTGTAAACTTTGCCTACCGAAGGGTTTTTAATTTCTTATGACAATGTAGATTCTTTGCACTGCCAGCATTAAGCGTTATACAGGGTCATCAAAAAAGCTGTCCGTGATTTCAAAGTTGAATAAAAAAGTCCCTATAAATAGTCAAATATTCAGAGATGCATTAAAACATGCAGAAACTCAAAAATGTTTGTTACATACCTTAATGTTACATACTCTTAAGGTAACCAAATAAAAAAGTCCGTAAAATACGGATGGCGTTAAATCCGGACTTCTAGGTGGCACAAAACGGCACCATTCCTCCCAATCCAACGGCCACGGAATCTCATGTTTAGAGCATCGCGGACGATATTGATTAAATATCCATAAGTTAACGTTAATAATAAGTTTAACTTTTACTATTTATAGGAAATTTTTTATTAAGCTTTGAAATCACGTGCCCCTTTCGATGACCCTGTATAACACAAAGTCGACTTTGCATCCTATTGCAAAATCGTATGCTTATTTCAGTGTTTCATTTCGATGTTTCATGAATGTGTTAATGTCAACAAAAAAAAAATGTTTTAAATTATTCTCATCTGATTTATAAGCATCATAAATCCATGCAGGAGAATTTTCCAATGTTATATCTTTTAACTGATATTGAGTAGCCTCAAAGAAAATAATTTCTTACGTTTTGTGTTTTTTACCTAATGGACGTATTGTTTTTTTTTTTACATTAACTGATTATTTTATGTCCCTCTGCTTAAACATGTTGAGTAAAGTTGAAATTGCATACAAACTCATTATGATCTTTAAACATGTTAACAATATTATCCAGGTAAACACTTCACATTGACTCAAATGTGTACCTTCATATCCTTTTAACACAAATATGCCATAATCATCCTAAAGAACACAAAACAAATTTCTATTCCTGTTTTCAGCTTCATTCGTCGAGGCTCGGAGTCATTCTTGCACTGCTAGATATACAGTGAGTAAAATAATTTACTGTAGGCTAACTGTAAGTAAAACACATACCATAGAGTGGAGAAATTGCGTTAATTAATCTATGCTTTTGAAAAAAAGAGCCTTTGAATGGGTATTTAAACTACGTTTGATACATTGAGTTTTATTTTCTATTAGTAAATAAGACTGAAATATTCACAAATCACAATATGTTGGTTAATATTGTTATGAGTCACATGAAATAAAAAAAGGTATAGTGTTTTAACGTTATACCTTTTTTGACTATTTTCACCGACCATGGTATATGCAAAGTATTTGCATCGTGGGCTGATATTTTAGATGGTAATGGTCCACTGCAGTCATCTCTAGCCAACACAAAATGTGACGTATAAATTAACAGTAAAAAATTAAAATAACCCAATATTTTGTATTGTATTTTTTACCAATTGAGGTTATTTAGTAACAGAAAAAGGGAGATTAAGCAATATTTTAATTTTTAACCGATTCAAACCTGTTCTGAATTGACCACATGTTTTTGCATCAGCATGTCTACTCATTAAAAACAGTATCCATATATAAATCACACAGTACTCATGAACCTTTGAGAAAACTACAAGTCACATAAACCATATACTTTAAAGGTTTATCATGACGAGAAACTTTGCACAAAACTATCCATTATTTCATAAATTGCCCTTTAAGGTCGTAATCCTTTCTTAAGGGAACTTTCCACATACCTAATATTAAAAATACCACAGCTGAACTAATTTGTTTGTAATTCTTTCAATTTACCTTATTTAAATCAGTTGTGATTATTTGTTTGTATTTCTTTTTTGTTTATTTCAGCTTAACTTAACCAATCAATAGTTTTATTAATACTTATGAAGTAAAACGGAGTGAAGCTCGTGGGTATCAGCTAGTATAAGGTAAAATTAGTTTTGTATCATTTTTGAATGGTAAGAGAATATAATTAAGTTAAAATTCTATTAATCGAAACATTTTTTCAGGACAGGATTAAGAAGCCAGCTGTTTCTCACTTCCATCTGGACAGGATACACAATAAAGAGGAAATAATGAAATGTCATAGTGATCCAGGACGTGAAATAGGCTCAATTCTGAACTGTACGTCTTTTTGAACTCTACGGGTTTGAAGGACTAGAACTACAATGAGAGTAACAACAATATGTCGATCTAAATGTTTGGTAATAAAAATGAAGATCAATAAGTGTTTTAAGCTCGAGTGTTGGTTTGGATGGGTATTTATTTAATGCAAAATTCCTAGTCAACAAATTATTGCAAAATTAAATATGTAAGTTTGGCATAAGGGTGACATTCAATAGTTTGAATGATATCACATAATTTTCCCAAAACTACCTAATACATAAAACACGTATTAAATATTAATTAATTCTTGCAAACTATAGGAAATTAAGCTAAGAAAACCCTAGCTAGAAAGCTCTAACTAAGAAAATCCTAGTAGCTTTAAAAACATATTTCTAATACTTGACAGTTTATCAAAAGGTAAAATTACCATCAGCAAGAGTCTCTACAAAAAATGTTAAGGCCTTAAAACACAGTTTATTCTTATTATTTATATAGTATAGCTAATTTTAATCACTATACTGGATATTCAAAAGGTGATTTTAATCTTCCTAATTAAATATTTTGTTTTGATTAAATGTAACCATTGATTGTTACATACAGTTTGAAACTCAGTTCAAAGCCGTTTTTACCTCGCTCAGTTTAGGAAAAGACTGTTTAAATCCAACTAAAATGTGGGTAAGATTAAAAAATTTCTAGCAGTACTGTATATATTTAGGTTTATAAGAGTTTAAACCCACTTTATAATAATGACATGTGTCATCCTAATTTTTGTTTTTGTAAAAAAACTACTTATCTGTTTATTCCCCCAAAACTGTTGTACACATATTAACCTTTTAAAAAGAATTGTACGATGTGCCTTTTATTCTGTGTATGTTGTTTTATATTAAATACACCAATCCGTGTTTCCAAGTTATGAGTAAATAATTTAAGACGTTGTATTGTCCCAAATTCTTGTATAATTATATAAAAATGAAACATCTATTGAAATAGTATCCATGTTTTTTATACATCGAACGTTAGAGAATATGAAAATAAATTAAAAATATTACTATATACGGATTACGTAAATAGAGGCATGATGTAAATGCTATTGAATGCAGTTTCCTACGATTTACAATTATTATTAGAAATGTCAATCATATAGCAAATAAGTAGAAAAAAATGTCTTAATTGAAAATATACTCTTGAAGCTTAATAAGCCAGAATAAATAATCTTCTGCTGAGTACCTAAAAGAAGGGACAAAAGATGTTCAAGATGCCTGCAATGCTATATTTAGTGTATGGTTGAATATAAGACTTTAACAATAACATTCTCACGTTTAACATTTGCTCTCTTAATAGTAAAACATTAAATCTTTAAAATATATATAATTTCAGTATATTGTTTATATTGCTGTAACAGAGTTTGTGAATAAGCTCTTGCATACACCCTGTGCTAGTAAACGTGTTTTCTAAGCTGTAAAATAAACAACAATATGCAATGTAAATACAATGTTTTGATGATTTTATACTTGTGATTTGTGTGAAATATTTGTATAAATTTAAAATAAACATTGATTTGAAAAACGAAGTTGTCCTCTCGTTTTACTGTGGCTTATGTAGTATTAACGATAGTTAAGTTGACGTTGTTGCCAACCTTACTGATAGAATTGTTGAGTGAGAAAGAGGGTGTGTTGTATTGGCCAGTTTGTGAATGGTTAAAGCTTTATTTCCCAATTTTTTGTAGAAGTATCTGGGACTAGATAGTGTAAAAGTGGATGAATTTAGTTTCCTAAATTTATTTATCTTCATACTATAAATACTTAATGTCCAACCTCTTTCAAAAATACATGTATGCTTATTCTACCATCCTGCATGCCCCGATCAGAAACATCTTTTAGAGTCAGATTCTGAATTAAAGTGTCCCTTTTGTGACATTTTGAAGTATAGTAAACAAATAAAACGGCAGACATTGATACATATAAGATCTTATACGTAATATTATTGCTTAAATTTTTTTACAAAAAGATATATTCACACAAAGTTAACAGTGTGTGGTTGATCTTATGTTTTCATTTGTTTTGAGACTTATGATTTAGTAATATTTATATTATAATTATTATTTTCATTATCAGTTGAAATGGACACAAAGCCTATGAGCCAAAATATGAGTGCGGAGTGAGTTTAAAACGGAGTAACAGTAAGATGATCTTTGTAGCTTTGTTACAAACTATGAGCTGTTTTTAATTAGGACCATTAACTACTAAAAGCCCAATAATCACGAACATCTCCAGTTTCGAACCATCAAAAGGGCACTCATATTTTTCTGGTTTGATCCGGACACCTTGTCATTGGCAAGAACTTTAACCACTGAAAAATCAAGAGTTGGTCATCGTAAGCCCTATGTACAATACACGTATTGGATGGCAGTCATTAAACTAATGGTAGCCAAATAAGTTTACAAACAAGATAAAAGCAAACTTACAACAAGTGCAAAGTAATACATGGTACCCTGTTATTATATTATTACAGCTGCGTTGGTTTTTCGTCTTACTTATTGTACTGTTTATTTGAACCTTCCATATATAATTCTCCCACTCCAAACCGCAATCCAGCTCAAACAATGTTAACTTCAATAAAAGCAAACACCCCTTAAACAGTGTTTGAATAAACACTTTTGAAATGAAAAAACTAGACAAGCCCCAGGGGTCCATAGAGGATGCAATACTGTTCAAACAAAGAATATAAAGCGAGCTTAGTTTACCGTAACAAGTACTTTTTCAGTTTTATTTGAGAGATATGCAGTGCAAAATAAATTACTTGGATGAATCAACTAAGCGAAGACCGACGGCTTTTGACAGCTTTACTTAAATATTTGTACCATGAGCTTTGATGCACTCTAAATACTATAGAATGGGTGTTTTTATACTTTTTATAATTACCAGGTTTCTGGAATACATTTCAAATCAGAAACATGTTTGTTTTCCACATCCGAGTGTTGGAAGCTTTTTAAAATTAGATTGTTTAAGAGTTCTAAGAACTGTCAAGTTCTTTGTAATGATATTAATTTTCATATGATTTCAACACCAATATCTACTTATTAACATTTATAAAAATATCTTTATACAAACAATATTTTTCTCAAAATAGTTACTAAGATAAGATTGTCTTTTGACAAAATATTTTTGAGTTTAATAAAAATAGTCAAGTAACACTGATCAATCAGGTGAAATAAGTCGCTTATTACTTTCCGTCAATTGGTAGCTGAATTCAATATTGATACCACACCATATAGGTCCTAAAAAAAGGTGAAGGGGTGGTTCTACAGTTATAATTTTCACTGTTTTATAAATAAATATATATATATATATAAATATATTAAATACATACAGAAATATACATGTACTGATTCAATGCCCGATTTAAGTAGTAGCTTTGACTATTATTAAGTCAATGGTAGTCGTGTCGAGTTTTACAGATACATTTTAAAAATAAAACAAAGTTTGGATTATTTAATGATTTTAGAATCCGAAACCTAATCCTTTTCACATTGTAATGTTAGGGCTTATGTTTGCTGTCTAATATATTAACTCCTGTGTTCATGGTGAAATAATCCAAGAAAAATTGATACAAGTGAATTCATTTAAACAAGTAATAATGTACTACCCCATCGATCAATAGATTCTTTAATATATCTATTTACGTTGCTTGGTCTATATTGTAATAACAATAATTATATTTTCTTAGGGATCTCCAGCTTATATTGTTTACACTCACCTCTAAAAATCACAGTAAACGAATGAGAGTTGAGGCTGTAAATGTTTACTATTTCTAAATCAATAAATAAGGTTACCTTCGTCAATCAGCTCATAGAAGTTGAAACATTGTTACGGCCGTTTCAGCATATCCATGCCATCATCAGACGTTCAGCCAAGTGGCGTCGTTAATATACAAAAACACAAACTGTCACACGCGACGTACACATACATAAACATAAACGGGGTTTTTTTACTAAACAGGCCTGTTGATTAGACATATCCGCACAAGAGCAAGTAGCTGACTGGGCCGCTACACATCATTCATATATGTGTGACTAAATCCTTTATTGATTTAGTCACAAGATCAGCTCAGGGGCTAAAAAATATGGATTTTAATTACTATTTCTATTCAAAAGCGCGTGAATTCTTAGGTTCAAAGGCGTGATAATATTTTCTGTATTCAATACTTGAATAACTTATAGTTGAATGGTTAAGGATTTTTATTTATTAGAACCAGTCTTGATCTAAGAACGTCATGTCTGAAACAATTGAGTTCTTGAATTGTAAAGAAATGTTCTGATTGTTATAACAGAGTTCTTGGTGCAGCCCGCAGATCAAGTTTCAAAGCCAAGTGTTCAACAAACAATAATCTTCCTATTTTGTCTGAAGGGTCTCCTTTTTCAGTGACGCATTTGAGAAGTTTTAAAGTTATTTGTACGACATTTTTAAAACTATTATTCTATTTAATTTGTGTATTCCGGAGGAATAAAACCTTAAAAAATGCTAAAATATAAAAGTTTTTAATTTGTATAGAGCAAATTTCGTCAAATGTAATTTTATAAAGGTTTAAATCTGCTGTTATCCGTTTCATTATTTTAAAATTAGTAATTGATGAAAAGTTTATTCCAATGTATTGGCTTTTGTTTAAAGATCATTTTATGCTTATTATTATGTCGGTTACTTGTGTTGTACGATGTACCAATGTTCCCAGTCAAGGTTGAACCATTACATTTAACATGAAGTGTAGTTTTGTTATATGTAAGGACTATAAACGTTCATAATGCCCAACATAATAAACTGTTTTTACAGTGGTCATCAAATGTAATTTTAAAGCATTTATATTCCTGATTTTGTCTGATTATGTAAAACGTTATGGAGATATGAATATAGTTTAGGTTGTTGTTCTATAAAGTTCAGGATCATACCCGATTATGCATATATTTAATAATATCGATCGCATATTTTGATGTCACAAAAAGACGAAAATCAGTTCATAACAAAGACTCTTCTTCAAC